CTTGTTTTAGAAGAACTCACTGGGTTCAAAATTATTCATAGTTTACTGACGGATTTAATCTTTAACCAATGGTACAAGGACAAATGTATATAATTAGTTCCCTAAATATTTGTGCAGAGTAAAATTAATTTGCTCTTTGTGATGTCATACTACAAGCCTCACCCCAAAATATAATGGAATCTAGTTTGTGTTGCTTAAAATGATAAAATGTTAAACTAACCTTTGGCCAATGATTGTTGGTACTTAACAACTACAAGGTAGATATTTAGGCATGGGTAAACCTCATTTAACTAAAAGTTCTCATAATTAGATTCCCTGGAAGAACAGTGCAACTGAAAGACATACATTTCTATATCATCTTAACATCTCCTGATAGGATGACCTATTTCATTTTAGAACAGAGAGATTTCTATTACCATTATGGCATCTTTGCATGCTGTCTAGATGTACAGGATCAGCGGCTGGGTTTGACGTTTCCATCACTTTTCCTACTTTTTGTCAATGTGGTTATTTCTGTCAATTCATAGAAAAAGTCTAATATAAATAAGATGCCTAATTTCCCAAATGATTATTTCTAACAGGCCCTTAATGAAATATAGTCCCTACACTAAAAGCATTAAGATGTTACATACCATGAATTCTGGTGAAACTGTGTTAAAGAATATGGTTCCCATGCTAGAGAAAGAGGAAAGAGGGACCAAGTCTCAGATTCTAGCTCAGTTCCTTCCCTAACCACTTGTTTTGGGCCCTCCCTCAGGGTGTCTCCTTGTAGACAGGAGAATGTACTTCTCTTCAGGTCCGCACTGAGTAGATTGACGAGCACTTAGCCTTCACTAGCGCACATCACTTCTATCCCCAGCTTGGCCCACTGTTGTATCATAGCGCACAGCTTCACACTCAACAGAAATAAGGGGTGGAATCTGAACCTTCCCAGAAAGGTCAATGATATAGATAAATAGGCAAATAAACTATAGTTTAGTCGTACACTTCATCACTCTTAAAAAGGACAAAAGGCCACGTATACATAAATGCATAGTAAATGCTTTTTGAAAATGATTATCAGCATAGAAATATTTGTGTAATTGCATGTGTGTGTATGAAGAAGCACTTGTGGAGCCTGGGTATTTAAAAGATTTTTTTTTAAACTGAGACCAATTAAGTGAAACCATCCTGCCTACAGTTTCCATTCCTTCTATTCTTTCATGATCAAGATATAGCCAAAATAAAAAAATCTGTACCACAGCTGTTTTGTGCATTTCAGCCACCTGAAAATCTATTAGGATTAGTCTAGGACGATTGTTTACAAGGATGAAGACAAGTTAAATGAATTTATTGCCTAGAATCTCGCTGCCTACTTTAAACAGGCATGACTATATTTTCCAACACCTTATCTTTTGAACTATTTTAAATGTCATACTTGACCTCTAACATGAGAAGCATACATGGAATATTACTTTTACAAAGATGACTAAAATAATATAACAACAAAAGACAAATGCCTAGTAAGGTACTTTACACGAATTATCTCTAACTCTTCAAAATGATTCTGTAAGTTAAGTAATATTTAAACTCCTTTTAAAAAAATTTATAACGGCTTTATTGAAAAATAATTCATATACCTTAATATTCATCCTTTTAAAGTGTACAAGATAGTGGTTTTTAGTATATTGACAGATTTGTGCAACTATCACCATAATCTAATTTTAGAAAATTTTCATCACCCCAAAAAGAAACCCTGAACCCGTTAGCAGGCACATCCTTTTCTTCCCTCCTTGTACCCCTGGCAACCACTAATCTACTTCTTCTCTCTATGGATTTGCCTATTCTGGACATTTCATATAAATGTAATCATACAGTACACGACATTTTATAACTGTTTTCTTTCACTCAGCATATTTTCAAGGTTCATCCATGTTATAGCACGTATCAGTACTTCATTCCTCTTTATTGACAAATGATATTCCATTGTATGGATATACACATTTCATTTAGCTGTTCATCAATTGATGGAAATTTGTGTTGTTTTCATTTTTTGTCTATTATGAATATGCTGCTATGAACATTTGTGTGCACATTTTTGTGTAGACATATGTTTTCAATTTTCCTGGGTATATACCTAGGATTGGAACTACTGGGTCATATCATAACCCTACGTTAAACTTTTTGAGGGACTGTCAAACTGTTTTCCAAAGTGACTGCACCATTTTACATCCCCAACAGCAATGAATGAGAGTTTGTATTTCTCCACATCTTCAACAATACTTGTTATTGTCTGTCTTTTTAATTTGTATCTATGCTATCCTGTGTTGTGGGCTTGATTTGCATTTTCTTAATAACTAATGATGTTGAACATCTTTTCATATGCTTATTGGCCATCTGCATATCTTCTTTGGAGAAACGTCTATTCAGGTCCCTTGCCTAGGGATCTTTTTTAATTGGGTTGTCTTTTTATTGTTTAAGTATTCTTTATACATTCTGGATACCAGTATGATTTGCAAATATTTTCTGCCATTCTATGGACTGTATTTTTACTTTCTTGATGATGCCCTTTGATGTACAATAGTTTTCGATTTTGATGCAGTCCAGTTTATCTATTTTTTCTTTTGTCATTTGTGCTTTTGATGTCGTATCTGAAACCATCGCCTAACCCAAGGTCATGAAGATTTATGCCTATGTTTTCTTCTAAGAAAACTTTCTTAGTTTTGGCCCTTAACATTTGGGTGTATGCCCATTTTAAATTAATTTTTGTATATGATGTGTTAACACCATTTCATAGAGGAGAAAACTAGGCAAAGTGAGGCTAAGCAATTTTCCCAGAGTGTCATAGTATCCAATGGGCTGAGATAGGATTCAAATCTAAACAATCTGGCTCCAGAGTCTGCACGCTTACCCACAAAGTTTTGCTACTTTTTTATTGCAACTAAGTTCTTTTGTCAAATTGGATGTAAATTGATGATTATGTGGTTTTTGTTCTTTTAATTATTAGTGAGTAGAGACTATAATGGGAAATTCATAAGGAGAACACCAATATTGCTCCAAAAGGGATCATCAGGTTTCCACTTTATCCAAAGAAATGTTGCAAAGACACATGAAAACTTTACAAAGCAAAGCCAAAGTTTACGTGCTATAAATATGCAATCTCTATGCTGAAAATAGTTTATTGCTTTTACAATTAATCCGCTGCTTTTAGTAACTGAAATCAGAAGAGAAAATTTCATCAAATGTTACCTTTCCTTAATATATCAGATCTATGTTCACTGACTTTATTAACTTATATTATTTCCCCAAAATATCCCCCCTTACATTACACCACATTCTGTGAAAATTGATTCTTCAAAAGATGATCATCTTAAAACTAGATAATGTCTAATTTATCTATTATAACTAGTTTGTGTCCAGAAATTTCACCAAATGACATGTAAAGATATCTATTCTCATGATAGCTCTGTAAGGTAGCATTTCATATGAAGCTCCAGAGAAATCTGAAAGGTTAATAACTTTGAAAATGTTAAATAACATTAACATAAATTAAGACATTTGTCTAGCAAGAACCATCTCAGTTTTCTTACTATCCAATGTAATATTCTACCTATCATATGTCACTAACTCTATTTAGCACACCAATCATTAATGATTAAAATCAATTAAAATTCATAAAGAACTATGTGTTATCCACTGTGTAAATGAATTACATTACACAAAGAAATTTCAGAGCAGTTTACTAAATAGGCCTGTCAATTTTACCTGCTCTGCCAGTGACGGGCTTTTAAAAAAACAATTATTCTATCCAGGTAGCAGTGGTTCGATATTTACCACTTCCAGCTGTCTGCTACTTTACCATATAGACAACTGAACACATATTTTATTGCAAAAGAAAGACAAGTACTGGTTAAATAAAGAGGAATTTGCCTGTTTGCACTTTCTTGCTGACTTAAAGCTTGATTTTAATTTGTGTTGTAGGCTTCTCTTAACGAAACTGTCTATTTAAAATAACTGTTAGTCTCTAACATTAACATAATGGATACATTCTCGTAGAATCTCAACATAGGTCTGTTATTGTTTTTTTTTTTAATGTTGACGTGAGGCTTTGTGAGAGATGCCGTTCACAGAGAGTTGTTTTCTTTTTTAAATTTCTAATGGGAACACTTTATACTTGCAATGAGCTCTGTAATGGAAACCAATCTGCACAACTTTGCTAACATGAAGGGTCATTTGAATTTAGAAAAGGTAGAAACTTTAGGCTTTGTTTTCTTTCCAGTGGCACAAATAAGTTTCCAAAAGCAACAGAACCCCAAATTCTGACACAATACTGGCTACATATAACTAATTGGGTGACCAGCTGGAGGCAGCTCCCCAGAAAGCTTTGCCCTGAACATTTTAGCATTTCGTCTACCCCTGACTGAGAAGCATACAAATGCTTATACCACTCTGATTTCTCAGAACAGACCCAAAGGATACGCTCTCTCAAAAGCCACATAAGCTCTTTGCAGGATCACTATTATCCTGGGATACTACTGTAAGACCAAATATAAGGTCATGAATAAATTCATTCTTCAAAATATAACATGCTCAAAAATAATGGAGTCCATTTACCATCTTCAAATATGGCTAAGAGAAATAAAAATGAAACATAACAACCATCACAAAGCTTTCTAGATATGAAAAAATTTACAATATATTGAATGGGCAGAATAAGTTCTTCTAGAGACCAAAGAGATGATATAAAAGACAGTCCTTTAAGGCAATGAAGTACTCAAGCTCTAGGCTAAATAGGGAGAAACATTCTATAGAGGAAAATGTTATAACAAAGTCTCATATTTTTAATCTCAATTTCTCCTAGGACGCTAAAGAACATAACTTTCATACTCAAGTCCAATCATATTATAGAAAGACTTCTGCTTAATAGAGAAGCAACTGAGATTTGGAAAACTCTATTTGCTTAAAAAAAGAGGTCACTTCATAATAAAAAGGAGGATCATAACCAGGGTACCTGGGTTTACCTTTGCTTTGCGAAAGTGGTAGACCACCAGCATGCTAACGAAGTCGAGCAGCATACACAGGGCTTGGAAGGAGATGATAGCAAGTCGCAAATACTTATCCTCCTGGACAAAGCAGGGGCTGTCATCAGCACAGTAGGAGCAGCCCTCCCTGCAGGGTAGGCAGACGTGGGCTTCTTCTGACACATCTTTTGCACCTCCTGCAAAATGGTGATCCGGACCCCTTCCTGAAAGTTCCAAATAAAATCACAGTGTCATTGCACCTCTGAGATAGGTGAGACTGAATACAGAGTCAAAATACATCCCCACCTCTTCATTCCTTTTCCTTTTTATTAAAGACCTTTTGTCAATCTTCTTGGCAGGGGAGAGAGTTACTTTGCCTTTAGACTCAAACAAAATTCTTCTTATCCCTTTGATTTAAAAAAATTGTCATTCAGAGTAAATGATAAAAATTAGCAAAAATGGAAATACAACTCCTCAAAAGCAGGGAAGAATTTTATAAGTCTTTTACATCATTATCTATCACTCACCAACCGATACTCCCTATGGCACAAATCATATTTCATAAATATTTGTTAAAGAATCAACCAGAAGGAAGGATAAGACAGTCGTGTCTTTCCCCTACCAAGTAAATATATATAACACTTTTGGAACTTCTTGACCTAGATGGCACAGAATCCAAAATGAGGCTTTGATTGCTCCTTAATTCAGCAGGGATCTCATCTACCAAGTTCATTAGGTCTAAATTGGATAAAATGGTACTTAATCTACAGTTGTTCAGTGTGCAATTGCCTAATGATGGTGCATCCTTTGCCCATCCATACTTACAGGCTATCATGTAATTTCCCACTTTGCATACCCATAGGACACTTCCACACTATTAACTAACTGCTGCTATTGATCCTCCCTTTAATTTTAGATTCTTCTGTCTCAGTTATCAAATTTAACTTACCTCTGAAGTCCAACAGGTAAAGATTCTCTTTAATTGTTGAGTTGAGTTTAGCACTGACAAATATCCAATTAATAACATATACTAAAAAAGACCTATTTCCAACTCTGACCTCAACATGAAAGCCATTAGTGAATATATAACCAGTCTAGTATATAATACAACCACACAGTTCAGTATATAATACAACCTTGATTGACTGAGGAATTTTGGAAAGAGGTTGCTCTGGTTAACAGCATTTTAATAACACAAAGTTTAACAGAAAGTCTTTATTACTTTCAACTCTTGTTGCAGATTCACAATCTTTCTAAAATGTATTTTTCTGCTTTCCTTCCTTACTAAATACAATAGCAAACATAATTAATATTTCTTCAGTGATTCAGGATATATTGCTGTTTAAGAGTCATCACTCTGTTACACAGTGAAAGTGGATGAATTTAGTGTCTGGCAGATATGGTTCCCATCCCTAGACAGCTCTGAGACACTAGACAACTCACTTGACCACTTGGGCCTTAGTTTACTTATGAATGCAATGTGAACTGCTATGGGGATTAAGTGAAATAATGTATATAAATCACAGTGCCTGGCTTTCTCTTCTTCTCCGAATACAGGAGACACAAAGAGGAATCAGGAATCCATTGGTGCCTTAAAGAACAGTATTACTGTTCAAAAACAAGGAAGTTTCTGTCAGAGAAAGAACCTACAGAGAGCTCTGGGTGTAGATAATAATGACTAGGGAGCAAAAAGAGGAAGAAGCCAGACAGGTAGAAGTTTTTATAATGTCGTTAAAGAAAACTGGGATTTACTGGAACATGCTAGAACATGACTGAGGAAGGGCTATGAAGTTTAAGGATTATTTTTCCTTTATTGACTTTTAAGACAGTACTTTCCAAAGAGTGGTAGAGATTCAAATTAGTTGTCAGGGCTTAAGAAATAAATATGTCATAACATAGAATATTATTTCAATAAATGTTCCATTTAATGAAAAAAAGCAAGGAAAGCTCATGGTTAATAGGAATGATGGTGAGGAAAAAAAGATTTTGGTTTTGTGTTTCGTTTTCTTCTATTACAGGTGAGATCCGAACATAGCTGTAGTCAGCAAAGGGAAGCAGTGGAAATCAAGAAAAGATATGGGAAGACTGGTAAGGAAAGGACTTGAGAAGTTAGTACTGGATGCAATCAAGAGCATAACTGGAGAAATTAACTCTAAGAACAACTGACATCTCTTCTTCTAACACTCGAAAGAAGTGGAGGTGGGTTAAAGATTTTTTTAAAAAGTGTTTTTTATAGAGAGGAGGAACCATTTTGAAGTAGAGAAGAAAGAAAATGTGGAAGCCAATCTCATAAATCTTTTACTTCTCAACAACTCAGGTAAGAATATGTGCTGAGAATGAAGCCCAGTTTTGAAAGGGAAGACATGAAAGATTAAGGCAGCAATATAATACAAAATGACTAGTTAGTCACTTGGCAGAAAAAGAATCCCTAAAAAGTTAGAGTAAGATGGTATGATTTACTAGGAGACTAGTCAAGATAGTTTTTTGATTTTCTACAATTATCAGTAGCATAGAAACAAATGGGAAGGATAGAGCAGTTGAGGAGAGAGAATAAAGAGAGAGGATTGTGAAGATGGCGTTACAGGGAAGGAGAGAAAGCCAACACAAGGCTGTGTAATGGAGCTGCAGCCTTCACTCCCTCAGAGTACCTGGTGCTCATTCCTCCAGGGACCTCCTGAGTCTTAATCAATTTAAGGGATTAAAGAGGGAAACATTTCTCCATCATCAACCTTACTCATTGATCAAGGGTGGCCTCCAGAATCATTAACTCTGGTACATTTCTGGGTAATATATTAGCCAGAGCAGGTTCCTGCACTCTATGTCATGACTTCAGTGGTGCCTGCAGCAGAACAGAAACTTAGAAGTGTGGTCTGAGGTTCTGGTCTGAGGAAAGGCATAATACAACTGTACTTATGCAAAGCTGTTCAAAGCTTTCAGTAAATAGTCATAGAATGGCTAACGTAAGAGGTAGGCCCAAGTACATGTGAAGCGATGAAAAACAGGTGGCTAATATGGACACAAACTTGAGGAACGATAGCGCACACAAGTCAAACACTATGAAGTATGAAAGCCTAGGATACTAAGAAAACAATGTATTAATTAACACTTTACTACAAACTGGATAGTCATGTAAGTGAAGTCAGAAAGGGTCACTGTACTGAATAAGAGAAAGACAGCTGTCAAGGATTCAGATGGTCCTATGAGGGTGACAAAAATGGCAGGGGCTCTAAGATCAGATTTGGGAGACAGAGGTTAGGGTTTCCCCTTCTGGCCAAGATGGAGGAACAGGGATTGAGTCTACCTTCCCATTAGAAACAACGAAAAAATGGACAAAATATTAAAAAGTACTGGTTTTATAGACACTGGCCATCTGGCAATAAAGGACAGAGATTCCTAATAAGTGCAAACATTCCTCAAACAAACCTACCACAAACAGAGCCACAACAAAAGTTAAATTAGTAAAGAAAAAGCCATTCTGACTTGTAAGTGAAGAGAATTCCAGGCAGAGGAGACAGCCAGTACAAAGGTGGGAGCATACCTGGCATATGTGAGGATGTACAAAGAGGTTAGTGTTGCTAGAGCAGATTGAGTGTGGGGCAGTGTAGTGGAAGATGAAGTCAGAGAAGTAACAAGGGCCAGATCCTAAAGGGCACTGTGGGCCAGTGTAGGGACTTGGAGTCTACCCTCAGTAAAACAGAGAGCCATGGCAGGGTTTTGAGTAGGGGAGTGACATGATATGCCTTATGCTATTAAAGGATTACTTTGGTTGAGTAGAGAATATACTGTAGGGGATAAGGGTGGATGCAGGGAGATTAGTGAGAAGCTATTGCAGTAATCCATGTGAGACTTGATGGTAGCTGGGACCACAGTGTAACAGTAAAAAATGGCTGGATTTAGGTATAATTTGAAGGTGGAGTTGACAGGAATTTCTGATGAGTCGACTATGGAATGAGAAAGATAAGAGCCAAGGATGACTCCCAGGTGTTGAAATGAACAAGTGGAAGGATGAAGTTACTATCAACCAAGGTGGAGAAGAATGAATATGGAGAAGTTTTTGGAGAAGATCATAAGTTCAAACTTGACATTTCAGTTTGAGGATGTCTAATAGAGGCCCATGTAATGATATCAAGTAGGCATCGATATGTAAGTCCGGAGTTTGGAAGAAAGGTCTGAACTGAAGATAAAGATATGAAGGTTATGGGCATTTAGATAGCATTTAGAGACTGGATCAGATCACCAAAAGAACGAGTGAAGATAGAGAAGACTCCAAGAGCCAATATTAATGCCAATGAAAATCCTTAATCACACAAAAGTGTGCTTGGCTCTGACTCATATTTTCAAAGAGTATTGCATTATTTCTTTCCATAACTGCAAATGCAAAAAGCTTTAACAGAAAAGCAAGCAACCAACCAACAAACATTTTCTCTGGATTTAAATGCGACTTACCACAATTAAAGAGCTAAAGCTGCCATCTTGGTTTGGGTCCCCCAAAAGCAGAGCCTGAGATAAGAACCTGGATATAGGTAACTAATTTGGGAGGTGATTCCCAAAAAAAGGAGGGAAGGATGAGCTAGAGTGAACGGAAGAAAGAAAAGGCAACAAAAAGTACATTAATGAGTTGGATATCACTGTAGGCAATATGGGCTCAATCTTCCTGGGAGCGCGCTAAAAACTGCAAACAATTTGTTTCTCCAAAGGATGGGAGGCTGGAGCATTTACATGGCAACTTGCAATCCCATTGGTTGATAGTTGTTCCAGGGGGACTTCAGTTTCTCCACACTCCTGGACAAGGGCTGAGCAAGCTTACACGGCTTCAGAGAAAGCCTTGAGGCAGAAAAGGAAAGAAATTCTGTGGGCACTTGAGGTGAGATACTGACAGCAGGCCCAGTAGCTATCATAGCAGCTAAAACCCAAGGCGGGTCAAGAGTAGGTGATGCAGGACACACAAAAACTTTCTGAGAGCTTCTAAGTTCCCAAATCAGCTGTTTCTGGCACAACTCAGAATACAATTTGAATGGTGCCCCCCAGATTTGAACCACATGCTAACCACAGCTGGACATAGAGAGATGAACAAGCCTGGGACCTGGTAGGTCACACAGATGACTCTAATTATGTTGTTAAATACTTTTTTGTACATTCACAAAGCAATTTACTTTGCAGAAGTGGTTTATTCTTGCCTGTGGTCCTTTTCTTTCCTTTATAATACTATGTCTCAATCAATCTG